ATCCTGGTCATCATAACATCCTGGTCATCATAACATCCTAGTCATCATAACATCCTGGCCATCATAATACCTGGTCATCATAACATCCTGGTCATCATAACATCCTGGTCATCATTACATCCTGGTCATCATAACATCCTGGTCATCATAACATCCTGGTCATCATAACATCCTAGTTATCATAACATCCTGGCCATCATAATACCTGGTCATCATAACATCCTGGTCATCATAACATCCTGGTCATCATAACATCCTGGTCATCATAACATCCTGGTCATTGTGGGAACCGACCTGTGAGATTTATATTTATTTAATTTATATGAATTTATATAGAATTTATATTTACGTTAATTTATATACTTCGATAGCAATTTGTATGATGATAAGTGGACTGTATTTCTGCAATAATCTCTTAATCTCACAAATCGATCCTCTACACATTAGGGGGGTTTATATTAATTTAATTTATATATATGCAGCCAATCAAACTACAGTATTAGACTACATACATTGAAGAGGTTCCTTATCTTATTTGTACAGCAGGCCTTAGTCCACCAGGTATAACCAGGATGTAGACACCACATTTTCCCTCTTTGAGGTAGCTTCCATCACCATGGTAACTGATGCACAAAGCATGCTTCCTCGTCTTGACATGTCAAAAGGGCGCTAGCTATGAAGCCAGAATCCTAGTATATGTCAAGCTATATCAGAGAAAACACTGTACATGGAACCATATAGACCTGGGCTAATTACCTTTAGTATGAGGCTATCTCGTGCTCTAACCGGTCCACGGTCCACCCTACCTAATGACATTAATGGATACTAATGATAGATAAATGGGTTTCGGTAGAACACTTAACTTGAATTTGTTGACAGCGTGTTGATAATGGTACACCTTTGGTTTCCATAACACTTCGTCCAAGTAAAATTAACAGGAGCTGTATTTGCTCCCGTGCGCCTCTGGTCTCAATACAAACAATGGCTGCCACTCCCTCACCCTGACGCCTGGCTTACATTGTCCAGATGACAGAAAGTGATAGAAGGGTCACATTTACTCTACTTTAATATTGATACTTAAGTTAATTTATATGAAATGTTTTATGATGGTAAAGTCCAAAGACTAATGTATTTAAGAATAATTCCCACCATAATAGGTGGTAAATTTATAATAGTATGTGGTAATGATATCCCGTATTCTATAGACAATGTTCCACTACAAGTTACATTTTCTATGGGTAACTTGTTTATACAACACAGCAATATTATGTCTGTATGATTATTAAATGGTGTCGGATTTTCCGACAGTCATCATAACATCCTGGTCATCATAACATCTTAGTCATCATAACATCCTAGTCATCATAACATCCTGGTCATCATAACATCCTGGCCATCATAATATCCTGGTCATCATAACATCCTGGTCATCATAACATCCTGGCCATCATAATATCCTGGTCATCATAACATCCTGGTCATCATAACATCCTGGTCATCATAACATCCTGGTCATCATAACATCCTGGTCATCATAACATCCTGGTCATCATAACATCCTGGTCATCATAACTGTGGGAAAATCCTAGCAGGCTGTAATTCTTTTAATCGTTATTTTATTCAAATATTTACTTTAATTTATTTTTCAGTTGACTTTAATAATATATTATTTTTCTTCTGAGTTAGTTCTTAGTTAATGGACTGTATATATTCTGATTCAACCTGCTAAAATATTTCTGCACACATAGTTGTGGGGATCAATTTAAGGATTAAACCACTTTGAGGTGGATCTTTCATAAACCACAAATTGTTTACCTAGTCTTTAATATATAAATTATAAATCATACCACATATGGTGGTCTAATCTACTGTTGCACTTATAGGTAACTCAATTATGTATACTACTCTATCTACAGAATTAAACACAAAGGGCCTTATCTGATACTGTAGTTGTGGCCTGCTAAGGCTGTGTAATGGTAGCATCAGATTGGGGTGTGGCCCTGTGCCTCAGAGTGCCACGTAATGGCGGCTATCTGGAGGCCTAAACGCTTGATGTACAGCAGGGTAACAAATTTCTATAATTATGTTGGGGAGCCAATTGCCTGCTTCAGTAACTTCCCTCAAAATTACCTGTTTTGGATGTTTAACATTAGTAAAAGCACACCAACATATTAAGGCACAGGTATGACATGAATAAGAGGGAAGTATAATGTTGAGTACATACTTGGTTGAGCTTTAAAGCTCATCATAACATAACATCCAGTTATGATGTAGCCTCTTATAACCGACTACGTTACTAATATTGACAAGTGCACATTACCAATTAATAGTTATAAGGCAGTCGGATACTCAAGTGTTCTGTTGGGTGGTAGAACTGCTGTGGTAGTTCCCTTAGAACAGAGTAAAATGTCTGTCATGGAAGACTCGTATCACAATTCTCCAATACCACTCTCATGTTGTTTTGTTTATCAAGTTCTGTCTTGTACATGCTGACGGCTCTAGCCAATGTTTTGGTTCTACTTCATTATTTTATTTATCAGTAAAAACGAAGTCAAGCTGTACTTTTGGTGTTAGAAATTGTATTCAGTCCTGGTGAACACTTTTTTATTAAGTTTAAGCACTAGACTGTTGTTTAAAAAGAGATGAGATATATAAATATACGTCTTGTTGGATGACGTCACCCATTCTTCTTTTCTTTAATGGGTAACTTATGTTATTTTGTGTGTCGGATTTCCGACAATAACATCCTGGTCGTCATAACATTACAAGCCTCCAGGACGCTACTGCTGTAGCTGATCTAGTAGAACATATAATGAACCAAAATAATTAATGTTGGCACTGTGTAGTTCACCTCGAGGAGCTACTTTATGAACTGTCCCCTCTTGAGGTTATCTTGAGTTGATTTCGGGGTTTTTTAGTGTCCCCGCGGCCCGGTCCTTGACCAGGCCTCCACCCCCAGGAAGCAGCCCGTGACAGCTGACTAACACCAAGGTACCTATTTACTGCTAGGTAACAGGGGCATTCAGGGTGAAAGAAACTTTGCCCATTTGTTTCTGCCTCGTGCGGGAATCGAACCCGCGCCACAGAATTACGAGTCCTGCGTGCTATCCACCAGGCTACGAGGCCCCATACTACAACACCCCAATGGTTGATGAGTACGCTGCTCATGACCTCGACAAACTCTACTACAACACCCCAATTGTTGATGAGTACACTGATCATGACCTGGACAAACTCTACTACAACACCTCAATGGTTGATGAGTACGCGGCTCATGACTTGGACAAACTCTACTACAACACCCCAATGGTTGATGAGAACGTTGCTCATGACCTAGTCAAACTCTCAACCTTCCTCTCAATGGCTGGACGTGGAAACTAGACACTTCCAGTCTGGCTTAGTATCCTCAAACCCATCAAGGGGCCAGATTGACGAAGAAGTTACGCAAGTACTTACGAACGTGTATATCATTCCTCAATCTTTGACGGCTTTTGTTACAGTTATTACAAAATTTACAAACATGAAAACTTCCTAATAAACTATTGTTATTGTTATAAACAGCCTCCTGGTGATTCGGGACTCATTAACTGTTTAATAATTGTAAACAAAGCTACCTAAGATTGAGAAAAGACGTACAAGTTCGTAAGTGCTTGCGTAACTGCTGTGTGAATCTGGCCTCTGGCAGATTATTACCTACCCTTCCTGTCTTCCTTTTTGGTGTAAGATGACCTATTCATTGAAATTCTTGCAGATATCAAATATCACAATTTAAGATGATTGTTTGAAGAATGCTTAAGAAGTATTCTCTTGCAAGAAATCTTCTAGTTTGGGTAACTCCATCATGGAACAAACAAGTACAACTCTCCCTGACAGAGCAACATCAGCCTGTGATATTATCACTCGTCTCAAAGTTGTTAGTGTTCCTCATGCAGGGGATTTTCCTTTGATAGCATGTCTTCAAAAAAGCCCATTTGCTACATTAGAATACCTGCTATTATGATATTGCAGTCTTTCATACTACTACTCAGACTTATTTAATTTAATTTATTTCACTGTGTCAGGGTGCAGGAAGCCAGAGTTTATTCATACACATTGGGCTTATGTCGAGGTCACCGTCCCCCCCCCTCCCCAGGTCGAATTACTGAACCCACCCCAGGATGCAACCTCACAACAAGCTGACTAACTCCCAAGTACCTACTTACTGCTAGATAAACAGAGGCATTAGGTGAAAGGAAATGTCCCCAACCATTTCTGTCCCGCCCGGGATAAGCCATATTTTTCCTGATAATATTTGATTCATGTTAGGAATCTGTAACTTATATGATGAGGGTGTTATCAGGTTATAAATTTTATTCATTCAAACAAAATGGTATTATGTGACGTTCAGTAAATTTTCTGTGCCAAGACACATATAGAAATGTTGATATTGAGTATGGCTGAAAGTGTTAAATCAAAGATTCTAGTATGAATCATCGTTACATGGATTACTTTAGTTTAGTAGGATGTTGATAAAAAACTTTTCAAAGTTCCTTTTCGTTTTATTGGGACTGATGTGCATCGCTACATGACGCATTTCGTTAAAACTCCAAACATCTTCGGAAGATGACAATATGTGACTACAAATTAGCAGGTATTGCAATATATGCATCATGAAAGACGAGATGAGGTGATGTGTTACTCTGGCAAGGTCATTGACCATTCTTGTAGACTAAACCACACACCATAAGATGAAGAGACGACGACGACGTTTCGGTCAATCCTGGACCATTATCAAATCGATGACCGTTATCACATACGACTTGATAATGATCCAGAACGGACCGAAACGTCGTCGCTTTTCATTCTTCTGATGTGTCGTTGGGTCATCATATCTTCAGTCACGTTACAGTGATTCATCATCAGCATTGGACATTTTTTCTTTAAAAACTCATTGGTCCACGTTAATAATGACTTTTAATCTGTATAACAATAATGTTTGTGTTGGCTGCGGCTCGTGGCAGCTGGCTGTGGTGAGGCCAACATCGTGGTGCCAGACTCCAAGATCGTGAACGGGTCGGACGCCTCGCCCGGAGAGTTCCCATACCAGGTGCACTTGACCCCCATCATTGATGGAGAAAAATATGGGTGTGGCGGGTCTATCATCAAGAAGAGGTGGATACTGACCGCCGCCCACTGCTTCTTTGACGACGCTGGGTAAGGTTTCTGTTTAATATTTTCTTTACATTTCACTTCCGTTTTGTTTGTAATCACAACGATGCTGCGAGTTTCATTAGTCTATTAGGCCTTGTTATGAAAATATTAACCCACTATTTTGAAAACACCAGGAAACGTAGACTGTATATTTGGATCCCAACCCCAGATCCTCTTCTGCATTTCGATCCCGGGTTGGCATCCAAATATACAGTCTACATATCCTTGTGTTTTCACGTAGTGGGTTAATATTTTCAATTATTAGTGCGATATTGTACTTCATTCTCAAGGCATATTATATTTAATTATTCATTACTGCTGCCCAGGAATTATTTCTGGCGTTCTCTACGTCACTACAGAAGCGCTCTTCAGCGCAGTATTTCTTCTAAATGATACTTAACCTTACTTGAGTATTCCAGCATGAATAATTCCAGTCAACATTGTATTGTTATCTGCTGCAGCAACAGAGCGACACGTGTGACTGTGGGGGTCGGGTCCATCTTCACGGAAGGCTTGACTCAGGTCACCACCAAACAGTTCATCACCCACCAGGCATATGACCCTACAACTTTTGTAAGGATATACATTTATTCATTCTAGTTTAAATATTGGGATTATTTTTGACGTGAAAATTCTCAAGAAATGTTGTTCAATGAAATTTCATTGTCCATAAATTCTTTCCTCAACGATACTGTTCCACTGAAGGAGGAATTAGGGTACTGGCAAATTATTGACAGCAGGAATTTCTGTTAATTTTATAGAGATCAGTGAATAATGGTGCATATTACTATAAGAATTTTTTTTTTAAAGTTATTTAGTTTTTTAGCTGTGTAGCAGGCAGGGCGTGCCAGTAATGATCGTGGGGTGTGAATCACAGGCACGCTGTTCACTTTTTAATTTTGGTGACCCTGACAAGCCTATGTTCATCCCGTACCCCACACCAATCCCTCTGCCTATTTGGGTGAGAGTAGCTATAGCGTCTGATCTCCAACGTTGGACAGAGAGACACACTCGTTTATAGTATAGTTATAAGGGGAAACCCGGCGGGGCCTCCGATTGTCTGTTTCTCCCTCGCTCAACATTCCCTCGCCTTCTTTAATTCCCTCCTCGCCTCTCCCTTTTTCTCCCCTCCCCCTTCTCAAGTCATTGTCTTCTCCCTCTCCCTCTCTCTCAAAATAAAAAGAGCAAGTGTCAGTTACGTGTTTCATGGTGCTAAAAGCTACAGTCAAAGTTGATTTTCTCGAAATCATTGAATTGTGTTGCATATTATAATAAAAAAAATAAATGTTTTGAAGATATTTGTTTTCAAGATATTTAGCAAGTCATAGCTAGCGGGCAGCAGGCGGTAGGAGGAGGATATTGAAGTTGTGTGTTTCATGGTGCTATGACCAAAGTATGAATACCAGGAAATTCCATTTAATGTTCCAGACAACGGTGAATCATTGTTTTCTAATTTTATCCTCAAAATATTTAGCCAGGCATATCTGGCGGCCGGTGCCATGACACTGTCGTGGAGGTTAGTATGTCACCGTGCCAATGTGGTATGTTCTTTCTTGAAAAGAATGCAAAGAGAGCTTAGAGAGCCATTGTCTACCATAATTAATAAATCATTAGAGTTAGGCAGAGTGCCAAAGTCGCGGAAGGTTGTTAATGTGGTAACAATTTTCAAGAGAGGAGATAGATCCCCATACAATGGTGTTCAATACAATATACACACTCGCAATACAGTCAGTTGAAGCCAAGCTCCTTGACATTGGCAATACATTCAGTTGAAGTCAAGCCCCGTGACACTCGCAATACATTCAGTTGAAGTCAAGCCCCGTGACACTCGCAATACATTCAGTTGAAGTCAAGCCCCGTGACACTCGCAATACAATCAGTTGAAGCCAAGCCCCGTGACACTCGCTATACAGTCAGTTGAAGCCAAGCCCCGTGACACTCGCTATACAGTCAGTTGAAGCCAAGCCCCGTGACACTCGCTATACAGTCAGTTGAAGCCAAGCTCCATGACACTCGCAATACAATCAGTTGAAGCCAAGCCCCGTGACACTCGCTATACAGTCAGTTGAAGCCAAGCCCCGTGACACTCGCTATACAGTCAGTTGAAGCCAAGCCCCGTGACACTCGCTATACAGTCAGTTGAAGCCAAGCCCCGTGACACTCGCTATACAGTCAGTTGAAGCCAAGCCCCGTGACACTCGCTATACAGTCAGTTGAAGCCAAGCCCCGTGACACTCGCTATACAGTCAGTTGAAGCCAAGCTCCATGACACTCGCAATACAATCAGTTGAAGCCAAGCCCCGTGACACTCGCAATACAATCAGTTGAAGCCAAGCCCCGTGACACTCGCAATACAATCAGTTGAAGCCAAGCCCCGCGACACTCGCAATACAATCAGTTGAAGCCAAGCCCCGCGACACTCGCAATACAATCAGTTGAAGCCAAGCCCCGTGAAACTCACAATACAATCAGTTGAAGCCAAGCCCCGCGACACTCGCAATACAATCAGTTGAAGCCAAGCCCCGTGACACTCGCAATACAATCAGTTGAAGCCAAGCCCCGCGACACTCGCAATACAATCAGTTGAAGCCAAGCCCCGCGACACTCGCAATACAATCAGTTGAAGCCAAGCCCCGTGACACTCGCAATACAATCAGTTGAAGCCAAGCCCCGCGACACTCGCAATACAATCAGTTGAAGCCAAGCCCCGCGACACTCGCAATACAATCAGTTGAAGCCAAGCCCCGCGACACTCGCAATACAATAACAATTCACCGGGGAAAGTTGCATGAGGCAACCCGCAATACTCTGCCTGCCAGCCTCGCACAGACACACAACCTATGTATACAGATATATATATATAAGACATGTCTTACTGCTTGCTGTTCACAATTACTTATTGCGTGTACTACACTGAGAGACTTGAGGATGGCCTCCTGTTTATGGTGTGGAGAGTCTGGCACCAGGGTGTCAAGAGCTGCCGTGGCACCAGGGTGTCAAGAGCTGCCGTGGCACCAGGGTGTCAAGAGCTGCCGTGGCACCAGGGTGTCAAGAGCTCCCGTGGCACCAGGGGTGTCAAGAGCTGCTGTGGCACCAGGGGTGTCAAGAGCTGCCGTGGCACCAGGGTGTCAAGAGGTACCGTGGCACCAGGGTGTCAAGAGCTGCCGTGGCACCAGGGGTGTCAAGAGCTGCCGTGGCACCAGGGTGTCAAGAAGTACCGTGGCACCAGGGTGTCAAGAGCTGCCGTGGCACCAGGGATGTCAAGAGGTACCGTAGCACCAGAGTGTCAAGAGGTACCGTGGCACCAGAGTGTCAAGAGGTACCGTGGCACCAGGGGTGTCAAGAGCTGCCGTGGCACCAGGATGTCAAGAGCTGCCGTGGCACCAGGGGTGTCAAGAGCTGCCGTGGCACCAGGGGTGTCAAGAGCTATCGTGGCACCAGAGTGTCAAGAGGTACCGTGGCACCAGGGGTGTCAAGAGCTGCCGTGGCACCAGGATGTCAAGAGCTGCCGTGGCACCAGGGTGTCAAGAGCTGCCGTGGCACCAGGGTGTCAAGAGCTTCCGTGGCACCAGGGGTGTCAAGAGCTGCTGTGGCACCAGGGGTGTCAAGAGCTGCCGTGGCACCAGGTTGTCAAGAGGTACCGTGGCACCAGGGTGTCAAGAGCTGCTGTGGCACCAGGGGTGTCAAGAGCTGCCGTGGCACCAGGGTGTCAAGAGGTACCGTGGCACCAGGGTGTCAAGAGCTGCCGTGGCACCAGGGATGTCAAGAGGTACCGTAGCACCAGAGTGTCAAGAGGTACCGTGGCACCAGGGGGTCAAGAGCTGCCGTGGCACCAGGATGTCAAGAGCTGCCGTGGCACCAGGGGTGTCAAGAGCTGCCGTGGCACCAGGGGTGTCAAGAGCTGTCGTGGCACCAGAGTGTCAAGAGGTACCGTGGCACCAGGGGTGTCAAGAGGTACCGTGGCACCAGGGTGTCACGAGGTGCCGTGGCACCAGGGTATCAATAGATACCGTGGCACCAGGGGTGTCAAGAGGTACCGTGGCACCAGGGTATCAAGAGCTGCCGTGGCACCAGGGATGTCAAGAGCTGCTGTGGCACCAGGGGTGTCAAGAGGTACCGTGGCACCAGGGTGTCAAGAGGTACCGTGGCACCAGGGTGTCACGAGGTGCCGTAGCACCAGTGTTTCAAGAGGTACCGTGGCACCAGGGGTGTCAAGAGGTACCGTGGCACCAGGGGTGTCAAGAGGTACCGTGGCACCAGGGTGTCACGAGGTGCCGTGACACCAGGGTGTGAAGAGGTACCGTGGCACCAGGGGTGACAAGAGGTACCGTGGCACCAGGGGTGTCAAGAGGTACCGTGGCACCAGGGTGTCATGAGGTGCCGTGGCACCAGGGGTGTCAAGAGGTGCCGTGGCACCAAGGGTGTCAAGAGGTTCCGTGGCACCAGGGTGTCAAGAGCTGCCGTGCTACCAGGGGTGTCAAGAGCTGCCGTGCTACGAGGGGTGTCAAGAGCTGCCGTGGCACCAGGTGTGTCAAGAGCTGCCGTGGGACCTGGGGTGTCAAGAGCTGTCGTGGCACCAGGGTGTCGAGAGGTACCATGGCACCAGGGGTGTCAAGAAGTACCGTGGCACCAGGGTGTCAAGAGCTGCCGTGGGACCAGGGGTGTCAAGAGCTGCCGTGGGACCAGGGGTGTCAAGAGCTGCCGTGGCACCAGGGTGTAAAGAGGTACCGTGGCACCAGGGGTGTCAAGAGCTGCCGTGGCACCAGGGGTGTCAAGAGCTGCCGTGGGACCAGGGGTGTCAAGAGCTGCCGTGGCACCAGGGTGTCACTGTAACACTGTAAAAGTGTTTGGTTTAGTTATATTTAATACATAGAGATTCAGGAGTCACAGACAAGGATTTGAGAAGGCGCCAGTTTGGTCAACCTGAGACTCACACTTCTAAGCGTTAATGACCTCAAGTGACCTGAGGTCAGATCATGCGAATTCCACCTTGCTTCTGCTAATCTTATAATTGGAGCCTGGTAGCCTTCAAACATGCCGACGTTTAAGGAGTGGCTTGGTAGAGTGCCTGAGGCTATCTACTTGTGGGTGGAGTTAGTTACTAGGTTCCCCAATATATACTCAAAGAGCTATCGATTCGAGACCATTAACAAGACAGGAAGAACAGAGGAGCCAGCAAAGCAGAGAAGACGGCCTAACCCGAAGAGGCTGTCGGCCGGCAGGGCGGGACAGTCTCTGTCAACTACAGACAACCCCCCCCCCCTCTCTCAATCCAGCTATAGGCAGACACTTGGTGAGTTGAGCATTAAGGTGACTTGGTCGTGTTTACATATGTTGTGTGATGATCAAGGGCAATCAAGTTGTAGGGTTCTCAAATTCTTGGATGATGACTCATTTTGCATATTAAACTGGAACATTTGAATTGCTTAAATTATGATAGTTATCATGTGAAATATAATTGAATTTATTATTTAAATTGCCTTTAACTTGGTTCCCTTGAGTTTTTGAGTTGAGGTGAGAAAGCCTCTGTGGTTACTGGTTCATGATATTAATGAGTACATGCTTGGAGTTGATACATGGTAATAACATCTTTTGAGAATATTTTGATACAGACAAGTTCCATTCCTTGTCTTGTATGTAATGGTCTAGAATGGATGGTGGCAGCATTTCGTCTTCTACTATCTACTCTTCTACTTCTCCTTTTTACTCTTCTACTTCTACCTATCTATTCCTCTCCCTCCACCCTTCTCCGAACTTTCCCTTTCAGCTATTGACCCTCCTCGCTCCTCCCATCTCTCTACCTCTCTCACCCCAAACCCTCAATATTTACTTCACTAGTCTTCTTTTTCCTTTCGTGTCTCTTATACGTTTATGGCAGTGAAACATATTCTAGAGTTCTCTCTAGGGTTTCGGGTACTGATCAAGATACTGCGCCTTGTAGTCTTAGCACCTAGGTAGTCAAATACCTTGGTTACAAGGTGTTGAACGAGAGAGGTTGCCATAGGAACTCTGGGAGTGCTCTAGAATAGTTAGCTAACTGGGGACGGGATAACGGACTAGAGAGAGCTGTTTCCCCTGGCCTTGTTAGTTAACTGGGGGTTGGAATAATGGACAAGAGAGAGCTATTTCCCCCACCCCTCGTTACAATGTTGGCAGCGGTGTTGAACAATGTGTATGGAGCTAGTGTTCAGTTAACATTGTTCAGTCCCACGTGTCTTTTGCTGCTCAGGCGCTATCAGGGAGAACTTGACAGGTGTTTAATATTCGCGATTTAGCGAGCTTTGTTCAGGTTAGGAGATAGTGATTCTCTGGCGATGTGTTTTAGTGATTTTGTGAGTTTTGAGAAGTTCAGGGAATGTTCACCAGAACTTGCGTGTGTAGTGATTAATGTTAGTGATAAGATTTGGTGATTTGGGAACTTGGCGGTTGGTGGTAGTGCAGGTCAGCTGAGTGTAAAAAGTGACCCCGCATGTCCCAGGGGGACACCCAGCCTCTGCTGATCCCCAGGTCAGTTGGGGAGTGGCAGGTGTAGTTCTTAAGTAGTTTTAAGTGGTGGTTCTGCTCAGATTATTGCGATCGACTGTTTTACTCCATTTGAGCGCAATAACCCGAGGTGTACTGGTGTTGTACAGCATGCTAGGGGGAGGCTTAGTATGTCAGTAGACTTCACGTTGGGGACGCTCGACGTTAGATAGTCTGGTCACAGGGGTGGCAAAAGTTTGGAGTTGTGGACCCGCGGAGAAGCGAGGGAAACATTCTGGGTCACATAAGTGGCTGTAGATTAAGGGTGGGAGTAACGGTTAATTAAGTACTTAAGATTAAGAACGGTACAGTTAAGTTAGGCTAGTGTTTTGCCTATTAGTATTGATTTTTTTTTTTTGTGGAGATTGGTTTAGTGACAAGTTAAAAGTAGTGACGACCTTATTCTCTCTTCTCTAAACTTTACTCTAGTACTGTTTATGTTCCACCAAGTCAGTATCATTCAGTGTTAATTGGATTACTTTAAAATTTGAGTGTAGTCGTTGCCAGGAGGAGAGCGTTATGATCGGACTGTGTGAACCCTATACAAACTACAGGGTCACACAACAGGATGGAACACGGGTATTGCTGCCTTTCTGTTCATTCCCAGGTTGGAGCCAGAGGAGAGACGCATATACAGAAGAGAGAGACGGCTGCTTGGTACCATACTCACGGGCGTTTATCACCACCTCGACGACCAGCCCCTACCTGGATTGTCATTGGCTCCACCACCACCACCACCCCGGGGGACCCCCAAGATGCAGCCCTCTCGGTCGGTCAACATTGGTCTACCCAGTGGACCCCAGGACGGACGGACCCCAGTGGACCCCAAGACGGACGGACCCCCAGTGGACCCCAGGTCGTTCTGCAGACGACCCCAGACGACCCAGTAAAGATGGAAGAGGAACAACAACGACTCCAGTCTGTCCCACCAACATCGGTCTACCCAGGATGGACCCCAGGACAGACGGACCCCAATGGACCCCAGGTCGCTTGTCAAAGACCCATGGGAGGAGGAAGAGAGAAGAAAGAAGAGAGTAGAAAGAAGAGAGAAGAAAGAAGAAAATAAGACAAGCTGAGTGAGACACGATGCCTAGTGTCTCTTGCTGGTTTCAGCATCATTGCATGGAGCAAGACAGGATCGTTTGCCTTAACTGGCCGCCCCTCCTGCAAGCATGTTGCTCTGTTGAGTGATTCTTCCTGTGTCGTGCGGACTTGATGTGGCTGTCAGAAGTGGCTCTCTGAAGGAAGGGTGCTGGAGCAACAGGGAGAACAGTAGGATGGGATTTCTACGGTGGCAACTATATGGAGGTCTCGAAACTTGTGGTCCCTATAGCTGTGAAGAACCCCAATATACGTCTCTCATGGTGACTGACGTAGGGCCAATTACAGATCAGCTGGGACAACCGAATTCCACGGTCCTGTGCGCAGTTCAAGTAGTAACGGCTTCCTGGTTGGCCAAGGGTTGTTGTGCGTTAACGACGGAGAAGCGACGAAGGCAGTTGTGTTGAAGAAATGTGGTACACAACTATCAACAAGACCAAGCAGTGACGTCGCCCAGCCAGAGACAATGGACGTCTGTCTGCATATTTCATTTTTAGAGTAGGATGATGTATATTTGTTTAGCTAGGATGTATTTTTTTCGTTAATAAAGTTGTTGCACACAGCTAGCTTGCTTTAGCAGTGTTGCAAAAACTTTATTTCGGGGAGAAGGGGAGATGTAACACTGTAAAAGTGTTTAGTTTAGTTTAGCTTTATTTAATACATTGAGATTCAGGAGTCACAGACAAGGATTTGAGAAGGCGCCAGTTTGGTCGACCTGAGACTCACACCTCTAAGCGTTAATGACCTCAAGTGACCTGAGGTCAGATCATGCGAATTCCACCTTGCTTCTGCTAATCTTATAATTGGAGCCTGGTAGCCTTCAAACATGCCGACGTTTAAGGAGTGGCTTGGTAGAGTGCCTGAGGCTATCTACTTGTGGGCGGAGTTAGTTACTAGGTTCCCCAATATATACTCGGAGAGCTATCGATTCGAGCGCATTAACAAGACAGGAAGAACAGAGGAGCCAGCAAAGCAGAGAAGACGGCCTAGCCCGGGGAGGCTGTCGGCCGGCAGGGCGGGACAGTCTCTGTCAACTACAGACCCCCCCCTCTCTCAATCCAGCTATAGGCAGACACTTGGTGAGTTGAGCATTAAGGTGACTTGGTCGTGTTTACATATGTTGTGTGATGATCAAGGGCAATCAAGTTGTAGGGTTCTCAAATTCTTGGATGATGACTCACTTTGCATATTAAACTGGAACATTTGAATTGCTTAAATTATGATAGTTATCATCTGAAATATAATTGAATTTATTATTTAAATTGCCTTTAACTTGGTTCCCTAGAGTTTTTGAGTTGAGGTGAGAAAGCCTCTGTGGTTATTGGTTCATGATATTAATGAGTACATGCTTGGAGTTGATACATGGTAATAACATCTTTTGAGAATATTTTGATACAGACAAGTTCCATTCCTTGTCTTGTATGTAATGGTCTAGAATGAATGGTGGCAGCATTTCTTCTTCTAATATCTACTCTTCTACTTCTACTATCTACTCTTCTACTTCTACTATCTACTCTTCTACTTTACCTATCTATTCCTCTTCCTCCACCCCTCTCCGAACTTTCTCTTTCAGCTAATGACCCTCCTCGCTCCTCCCACTTCTCTACCTCTCTCACCCCAAACCCTCACTAATTACTTCACTAGTCTTCTATTTCCTTTCGTCTCTCTTATACGTTTATGGCAGTGAAACGTATTCTAGAGTTCTCTCTAGGGTTTCGGGTACTGATCAAGATACTGCGCCTTGTAGTCTTAGCACCTAGGTAGTTGAATACCTAGGTTACAAGGTGTTGAACGAGAGAGGTTGCCGTAGGAACTCTGGGAGTGCTCTAGAATAGTTAGCTAACTGGGGACGGGATAACGGACTAGAGAGAGCTGTTTACCCCGGCCTTGTTAGTTAACTGTCGTTTGGAATAATGGACAAGATAGAGCCATTTCCCCCACCCCCGTTACATCACGAGGTACCGTGGCACCAGGGGCGTCAAGAGCTGCCGAGGCACCGGGGTGTCAAGAGGTGCCGTGTCACCAGGGGTGTCAAGAGGTACCGTGGCACCAGGGTGTCAAGAGGTACCGTGGCACCAGGGTGTCAGGAGGTACCGTGGCACCAGGGTGTCAAGTGGTACCGTGGCACCAGGGTGTCAAGAGGTACCGTGGCACCAGGGTTTCAAGAGGTACCATGTCACCAGGGTGTCAAGAGGTACCGTGTCACCAGGGTGTCAAGAGGTACCATGTCACCAGGGTGTCAAGAGGTTCCGTGTCACCAGGGTGTCACGAGGTAACATACGTGCTGACACTGGCGCCAAAGTCCCGGACATGATAAATAGTGTCATGATGACATGACACTATTTTCCGGTACACAATTTAACTCTTCAAGTTAATAATTGTAGATGGCTGTGATGTGTTAAGTTCTATTGTTTTATTAACAAACTGTAGAGTAACTTAAGGTTTATGAGGCAAAATTAAAGTTCAGCACATCAACGAATACTATTTAGGTATTATGGGAATCAATTAAAACTGTAAATTATATATTAATTAAAGTACCATAATGATGATATAGGGCAACCCTCACTCCGCACTATTCATAGTGATCTCTCCCTCAGGCAAACGACATCGCCCTGGTGGAGCTGGCTACTGACCTGCCCTTCGATACCAACCCTGATGTGCAGCCCATCTGTCTGGGGCAGGAGAGTGACATACCCTACGGAGGCAGGGTCGTCGTTAGTGGCTGGGGTGCACTGGCTTCTGGTACGTGTGAGACTCTTGATCTAGTTCGTCTGGCTGTGGAGCTTATTTTCACTGTTAAGTTACTTAGCCCCGTGTTGGGCGCCAGAGGTGAGATTCTACTCCACCTGGCTATGGAGAGTTTACTGTAAAGTGCCTTAGCCCCAATTTGGTAAGCCAGATGTGAGCTATTTCTTCCTGGTTAAGGCAAACACACACAGGCCTCATGTAGGGAAGCCTGATGTGAAATTGGCAATCCGGAAGGTGAGAGACGTGAGTAAACCCCGAAGGTCCCGTTCTACAGACGGAGCTGAAGACCAGGGGGATTTTCACTTCCAGAATGAAGCCCAAGAAACAACAAATGAGCAAATAGTGTTCATTGTAGTGTATTGTAGTGTAGTGTAGTGGAATGCAGCCCTAGAACTTTACCTGACTAGGTACACAGCCCCACTGTTTACGTTAATTCAAGAGTGTCACTACAAATATGTCAAACACCACTGTTGCGGTAAGTCTTCTTGACCCACCACCTGATAGGTGTAAAGAGACACAAGGCCTCGACCCACTGGACATGTCATCAACCACAGTTAACCAACCTGAAACACTTCATGCACACTCTTTGCAAAGAGCAAAACACTTCACTAACACAATGCATCAACAGATGTAAATGTGTACACAATAATGTCACTAAGACATACGACAACAACAACAACAATTGCAATTGTTATGACAATCAATGTCACCAAGAGAATCAAGCAACTACGATAAATCACGTCACTTGGCAACCGAAACAATTCAATTAATAATTAATTACTCAGTTAATTTACGTTAATTAATAATTTACAATAATGTTAATTACTGTCACTTGGACAGTCAACAAATCAATTAACAATTAATGACACTATCACTCAGACAATTACGTTCATGACTTTACTGAAAACGTTAATAGCTTTTCGATAAGTAATCAGACGGATTATTTTTCACATGTACCTCAGACAAGCCGCTAACCAGGTATTGCACTACACCACAATACACTACACAATAATACACAAATGAGAATCAACACTTGTCCCAAAGACAAAACAATTCAGTGAGTAACAATGACAATTATGTGTCACATCAACACAGCACTCAATGACTTACTCAGTTACTAGATCTCTGTAAAGAGATCACTAGATGTTAACACTAGATGTTAACAGCCTATGTTGTTGTTGTTTTAGATTTAGCTACTCAGAACGAAATGTCCATGTAGCACGGGCTATAGCGAGCCCGTAGTGCTCGGTTATTCGCAATAACCTTGTTACTGTGATATTTGGGTCAATGTTTTATATGGAGGTGGGGTTTCCTCTTTTCCCCCTTTCTTTTTCGCTTCTGTTTCAGCACACTGGTTTTATTAACATTATCTTGGTGGCGGATGTAGATGCAGAATGTTCACTAGTGAGTCCCATTCCTCAACGGCTTTTCTCATCATTGTAGTCACTGTGGAATTTACATATAATGCAGCTGCTGTCGTTGGATTAATGTTGAGTTTGATGCGCGTGGCTTCAGTTGCCTCACATTCCAGTAAGTAATGCAATAGTGACGCCTCTGCATCTGTTCCGCACATGTGACACTCTTTAACTGTTGGACTTATTACCTCCCAGCAGCACTTGTAACCAGGTCTGAGTCTGTGTATGGCTACTGCATTATTTCTGTATATCTTTTTGCCAGGCTTGAAAGAGTAGTACCCAGTGACTTGTTCGTACCACATTGCTGTGGATCTCCCTTTCGCTGCTTTCGCTCTGTGGCGACTTTTGATAGTTGGGAGTATTTTCCTCTTGATTTGTCCCTTAATCTGTGAACAACTTGGCGGTATTTTGACGTGTACAACAGGTAGAGCAGTGGCAGTATTTGCTGGTGAGTCTGTCTTTTCATTACCATCTATGCCAATGTGATTTGGTATCCAATTTAGGGTGACTGACAGTGCTAGATTGTGTGCTTCTTTTCCTATATATAGGATTTCTATGATGAGTTGTATATTTTCTCTCTGTGCTGAATGGATAACAATGTCTGGAGCGAAGATTTAGAGTCGGTATGAATGATGACATCATGTAAATTATTCTCAATTGTATAATTTATAGCCTCCTTTAGGGCATATAATTCTGTTTGCAATATTGAGTACCCACAATTCATGTTCCAGTAAGCTTCATGGTTGTTAGTGTAAACTACTACCCCAACGAAACCTTTCTTGATCAACTGATCCATCTGTGAAGATGTGAGTGGTTGTAGGCCTTGAGATGATTTCCATTTACTGTTCAGTGACTGCTTTGAGCATCTGCGAATCACATGATGATTTTTTAACTGGTAATCCTTCAATGATTCAATCGAGTCTTTAGACTCGATTCTTCCCATGGAGGTGGCATCCGAAAGTGTTGATATGGTATATCTTCCCTTTGTTTTAAATGGTCCAGATTATCCGTCCATGCACTTGTTCTATATTGAAGGTTTCTGTGAAGCGATCTGTGTATGCTATCTCTGATTGTCAGTCAACAAGTTTTGCTGTTAATGGTGGCTATTCTTTGTTTGATCCTGTTTTCTAAGGCCGGTAAGTTGGTTTCCAATCTTAGATTCTCTCGACGCATCCATATAGGTGCACCCAGCATTGTTCTGAGAGCATCATTTTGAGACACTTCCGGTTTCTCCCATTGGTTATCACTGAGGGATGAGAGCAGGGGCAGCATAGTCGATGAGTGACCTAACTGCTTGAACGTAGTATATTTTGAGTACTGGTAGAGATGCACCCTCACTAAGACTGGTCAGGGGGCTCAAAGCTGAGTTTCTGGCTTTACAACGTTGCTGAAGATATTCAATTTCTTGAGTGAATTTCAATTGGCTGTCTATTATGATGCCTAGGTATTGAAAAGAGGTAACCCACTCAATTTCGTGTCCTTGTATTGCGAGCCTGATGTCTTGAGTTCTCATTTTAACGGCCATTGCTTTGGTTTAATTGCTGTTTATTTTCACTGCTGTGCGTTCCGCTTCCTTGCTGATGATGTCTATGCATTTTTGTGCATGGTTCCCATGGTTCCATCATCAATGGCGCCTTTGCCATTGATGATGACCACAAAGTCGTCTGCATAGTTAAGCAATTTGGCTTTGGTAACTTGAGCTTCATGAATTGCTCCATGAGCCAGTTGAAGAAACAGGGGCTTACTATTTCTCCCTGTAGAGCATTTTCCAGCCTCTTTTGAGGAGGCTGTTTTTCCTTGGAATTTGACTGAAGCTTTTCGGTTAAGCAGGCTTCCTTTGGCAAAGGCAAGAGCGTGTCCTTTGATTTCCTCATCCACAAGGCAGCACAGTTTAGCTAGAGCATTGGCTAGCTCCAAGGCTTTTTCTAGGTTTAGAAAAATAAGGATTCCAGGTTTGTCATTGATATGATCCAGGAGAGAAGGAAGGCATTCTGTGGTTCCAAAACCTTTTCTGTAAGCAAACAAATTTTGGTGCAGTGGATTGGCTTTCCAGTCAATGCGATTAAGAGCCATTCTTTCCGCAGTTTTGGCCAGACAGCTTGTTAATGAGATGGGTCTTGGATTTTCTGGATTTTGGGGTTTTGGAATGGGAACTATAATTACATTGTTCCAAGAGAGTGGTCGAGTTCTTGTCTCCCATAAGCTGTTGATGAGATTCAAGAAGGCTTTTTCACCCTTTTGGTCGAAAAACCTGACACAATTTACAAATATTCAATACAATAGGCAGAAAATATTGCTGCTGGTTTGTGTTAAACAAATTCATAGAAAACATAGCCTACAGTTGAAATATCCATCAATAGAAAACGGGAAATAACATTGCAACGTCGCTATTAGTGTCACCAGCTAATTCTGTTGGAAATATTTTTAATACAGCAGTCTTTGGCCTTTAAACTTCATAAAAATATTTCACTTGAATTAACTTAATTATTAGTACCAAAATAAAGTAAATGTGATCTTTCTACCACTTCTTGACATCTGAACAAGAGAGCCAGGGCGTCAGTGGAGGAGAGCGAGTAGTCAGCCATGGTTAATTTATCAACAAAGTCGCTGGAGCAAATGTAGCTCCTAGAATTCTCTCTTGGACAGCTGTGTTACCGATGTAAAGTGCTTCTGTTATCGACATGCAACTACGTCTACTATAAGGGTGTATTATATTATATTATTATATAGTATTATAAGGGTATATTAAGTGTAGTGAAGGAACTGATGAATCTAGTTGGAGCTCTGAAGACAGAGTTGGATTCCCTACGGGAGGAGAAATCGGGAGGAGGCTTCCCTACGGGAAGCAGGTACGACAGCTGAAACAACGTCGAGAAGAAACAAAGGAGGGGACCAGTATCAAAAAGACATCGTGTTGGAAAGTCGTAAATGAGAGAAGTCTTCTGAAGATTTTGACGAAGCCGCCTACAGATATCCTAAGGACTTCTAACTCATTCACCGTGTTGGAGGACGAGTGCTGTGGGGAGCCTGCAGTTCGCTCGAAAGGGAAAACAACGAAGCGCAGGTCTCTTAAAGTACTCAGGGTGTAAAGGAAGTACCTAAACGAATTTTGGTTGTGGAAGATTACCAGGTGAGTTGTTTAGACAGGACGTTTTGTGACCGAGATAGAGGGAACAGGTTAAGGATTTGCTATCCAGGAGCAAGGATTGGTGACATTGTAAACAACTTGAATGATATTAAGGCTGAAAATGGGAACAAACCCACTATTTGTATCAGTGCAGGTGGAAATTATGTTGGACGAGATAGGAGTGAGGCACTGATACAGAGGTTTAAGACAGCCATAGAATTAGTTAGGAGCAAGGGAGGAATCCCGATCATATGTGGCATTCTTCCAAGAAAGGGAGTTAGAAATTAATGGTTGTCGAGGGCACTTGGCGTCAGTTGCCGACTGAACAAATACTGCAAATCAAATGCAACATCATTCATAAATAACTGGGAACACTTCTTTGGAAGGAATGACACGTATGCTCGCGATGGGGTTCATCTATCCAGGGTAGGGGCTGTTGTTGTTGCAAACTT